CTCTTCTATTGGGACATTTAAAACGGAGGGTTTCAGCTGCAGATTCAGGAACTGCGCCTGGCTGAGGAGCGCCTTCAAAACTGAGTGCTGGGCGGCGGCGGCCCACGGCTGTCTCTGCGGCTCAGGACAAGTCCCTGCAGGACGGCTGAGAAGCCCTGCCTCTCGGCCCTGCCTCCCTCAGCCTCATCCCTCAGGTGTCTCCCTCCCTCCCTCAGCCTCATCCCTCAGGTGTCTGCCTCGTTCCTCTCTCAGTCGCTCTCTCGCTCCTCCACCAGCCCAGGAAGAAACTGCTTCAAAGAAGCCGGCAGGGTGGCTTTTCCTGTTGGCGCAGCTCCTCCGAAGCTCCCGTTCACCCCCACCCCGCCGCCCACGGTTCAATCCAGTGCTCCATTCTGCCTGCCTGCCTGCCTTCGTTTCTGGTTGTTTCGGAGCAGCTTTGGCTGAGTAAAAGAGGCGAATAGTTATTATTCTCAGCCGAAGCTGCTCCAAAACAACCAGAAACGAAGGCAGGCAGGCAGGCAGGCAGAATGGAGCACTGGATTGAACCTGGATTGATTGGCGGCGGGGTGGGGGTGAACGGGCACTTCGGGGGAGCTGCGCCGACAGGAAAAGCCACCCTGCCGGCTTCTTTGAAGCAGTTTCTTCCTGGGCTGGTGGAGGAGCGAGAGAGCGACTGAGAGAGGAGCGAGGCGGGAGAAAACCAAAGCCACTGAGCCAGAGAGTAGGACAGGCTTTGGTTGCTTCCTCCCTCCCCTTCTTTCATTTGTGTCCTTGATCCCTGATCCCAGCAGCATTCACCGAAGGCGAAGAAAGCCGCCATTTTTATTTTATTTTTTATTTTTCTTTGCGGCCCAGTGCAAAGTGATCCACGGACCGGTACTGGTCCGCGGCCCGGTGGTTGGGGACCCCTGCTCTAACCTCCACTCCTTTAACCTCAAACTATCCACTATTGACCTCACCCCATTCCTAAGAGGTCTGTAAGGGGTATGCATAAGTGCACAATGGTGCCTACCGTCCCTGTCCTATTGTCCCCATTTATTCGTACCTATTTCCTGTATTCTTACTCATGTTTATACTTATATCTATTATCTTTTTTTAAAAGTTTTAAAATAGACTTTATTTACAAATGATTAAAACACGAACATACAAATAGGTAAAAATAAAAAGAATATAAATAGAACAATAAACATATTTCTTTCTATTACATTTGATACTAAGATTGATAGCTCATAGTAAACAAGTAATAAGTAATCATTGGCAAGTATTCCTTATCCCTTATCAATTACCTATTAATTAATAAATAATATATTATTCTGCTATTGCTATTGGATTATAACTGTATTGGTTAATCTAATGTATATCTATTATCTTGTAAGCTATTGACAAATCAAATCAAATCAATAAATAATATTCTACATATGATGCAGAAGGAATGGAAGGGTGTTTTTGATATAGTCTGGGCGGGATTGAATAGATTGTAGCAAGGAACAAAGTAGTCACAAATTCTGAAACTGGAACGCAGATGTAGAAGACTAAGCTAGAATCTTTCTCCCTGATAATTTAATCTTTTAAGTGATGTTGATAGAACTGAAAAGCTCCTCTCTGTTACTTCCTAATACTCTCAGTTACTCGCTAACACTCTATTTGGTCTGAGTATTAAGCTGTTAAATACTACAGCAAATATTTACTGTATAGAGATTGCTATCATAAAATTGTACTTTTAGAAAAATGGCTGTGCATTTGAACACTAAAAGTATATCCTCTGAAGCCAAGAGCAGGTAAATCAGGACAGGTAGCAAAAATATTATAAAAACCAAGATAGAACATTTAACTCCGTGGTTGAAAGCCACCATATAAAAAGAGCCATGTCTTGATAGTCTCATTTGTGTGTGTGCGTGTGTGCATGTGTATGCATAGATAGACATAGATATAGATGATATAGATATAGATGGTAGATATAGATACAGATGCATACAAGCACGTCATCCTGTTAAGTACCAGTTCATTAACACATTAGCCATCTTTTAAAGTAGGAAAACTTTTAGAAAGTAAATAGTTTTAGACATGGATATATTTAATAATGCATGCTTTCTTGAAAACCATAAAATATTGATCAAAGACCTGTGGAATACAATAATGCATACCAATTAGTAGAAAAATAATTTACCTCTAATCTTGTAGGTTGAGAAAGTCTGCACTGAATGACATATTTCTCTTGGGTTATGTAAGGAAATCTCCAGAGCATTAGTGTAGCTGCATTGTAGTACATGAACAGTGAAGCTGTCCACCACTAGATGGCGTAGCAGAGACATTTTTATTGCAAGAAGAATGTTCCAATTTATTCCTACCACCCCTGCCTCACATTTCTTGATAAAGAGCTAGTTCTTTTAGCAGGTTTAGTAAAAATCAAAAGAAGCTCACATGCCAGGCAAAAGGAATACAGAGGACTAAAACACTATCATCTCTGTTCAATTGTAGGAGACAAAAACTCAGTTATTAGCCTGTTCTATCTTTCCCATAGCCCAAGGAAGAATGAGTGGGTGGGAAAAAAAATGTAGGTGGACAGATACAGGCAATTATCCCATACTGTTCCATATTCAGAAAACATTCATGATCAGCATTTTCATCCTGATAGGAAGCAAATGAAAGAAACACAAATGCATGAAAACCCTCTTTGTCCTATATAACTAATATGGAAGAACTTTATAGATACCAGGTCTGAGAATCTTTGGTGGTGGGTGACCATGCTTTCTTTAGTTCCTTATTCTCCTGCCTTTAGAAAAGCATGCTCACCGAACTGGTTGTTACACCAGTTGAATCCTACCACTGTACATACCTACCTACATCTGTCTGTCTGTCTCTGTCTATCTATCTATCTATCTATCTATCTATCTATCTATCTATCTATCTATCTATTTACATCTATCTGTCATCTATCTATCATCTATCTATCATCTATCTATCTACATATTTACTTACATCTATCTATCTATCTATCTATCTATCTATCTATCTATCTATCTATCTATCTATCATCTATCTATCTATCTATCTATCTATCTATCTATCTATCTATCTATCTATCTATCTATTTACATCTACCTACATCTATCTATCATCTATCTATCTACATATTTACTTACATCCATCTATCTATCTATCTATCTATCTATCTATCTATCTATCTATCTATCTATCTATCTATCTGTCCAATAATATATAATGCCACACATTTACTATTAGAAA